CTGTCAGTCGGGCACCGGCGCGCCTCCCGGCCGCTCCGCATGGATTGGCCACACGCCCTGCTCTTCAAGCGGCGGCTGCCCGCCCATGCCGCGGTGACCCCCGCTCTGATTGGTGCTCGGCCTCGCGGCGCGCGGACGGCCGTTTTCCCCGCTCCAGGGGCCCAAAGGGGCTCCCGAAAGAGCCGCGCCCCCCGCCCGCTCTCCTTGCGCCCTCCGTCCGTCTTTCAAGCATTGCCGCCAGCAGCTGAGCGGGGCGTCGCCTTTGCTTTGATTGGCGCCAGAGCCATCGGTCAGGTGGGAGAGCCCGCCTTCGCCCCATCGCGCACCGTGATAAGCGCATCGTCTGGTCGTCGGCGTAATGATTGGTCAAAGAAGTAACGCACCGCCCCTTTGAAAGCCGCAGGGCGAATTCGGGATACCGATTGGCTGAGATGGCAGCCAACGCGCTTCACGAGCTTCCCACTTGTTGGACACCCACGGAAGCCGCCATGTCCCTCCCTCCGCATCTGATGAAAGGAAAGGAGGAAGACCCGCTCGGCGCTTTCTATCGGATTGGCTGCTGGCGGGGGTGACGCTCCGCCCGGCGCCCGGCGGTTGGCGAGGAGCCGCGTGGCCAGGCTGCGATAGGCTGAGGCGGGGGCTGGGGCGCCGCCCCCTCTGGCAGGGGTCTTCCTGCTCTGCCTCCGAGGTCTCATTCGGCCAACGGCTGCCGCAGCGGAGAGGGCGAGCCTGCGGGATGGCGGCGGGCGAGGGCGGGGCCGAGTCGCTGCCCCCGCCCTCCCCCTCTTCGCCCGGCCCGCTCGCCGGGCCCGAACGCGCCTTGGAAGAAGCGGCGGCCTCGGGCAGCCTGAGCCTGGCGGGACGGCGCCTGCGGCACTTTCCCGGCGGAGCCGCCCGGCGGTGGGACCTCAGCGACACCACGCAGGCGGGTGAGCGGCGCGGCTACGCCCCCTGCCCGGGACACCGGCAGCTCCTCCCCGGGCCCGCCCCGTCCTCCGGCCGACGCCACGCCCCCTGCCGGCCACGCCCACCCGGGGAGGGGGCGCCGCCCGTCGGGGGTCCCGTGTGGCGGCCCGGGCTCAGCCCCGGGGACGGCGGCCCGCCCGCCCGCGCTGGAGCCGGTTGCAGCCGGCTGCTTCCTTGTCCTCCCGGCACCTCCGCAGGCGGGCCGTGCTGCGGGAAATCGGGGGCGACCCGGTCCCCGCGGCCCCGCCCCGTTCGGGGACCCCCGGGGCCTGCTCGCCTCTGGCAGCGCGCGCCCCCCCCCGTCGGCATTTCCTCGGCACTTCCGGGCAGCCCTGCTTCCTTCTGCGCGCCGCAGATTACTTGGGTCCGGACCTGTTGCTCCCCGGGGCTCACCCAGGGGCCTCCCGGTGCCGGCCGGGCCGGGGCCGGTGCCGGGGGAGCCCTTGGCGAGGCGGGTCCCCCGCAAATCCGCGCGTGCAGAGACCGCCCTCGCCGGGGAAGGCGCAGGGCAGGAGAAGGGGAGGCCAGCGATGAGGCGGCCTGGACCCGCGCGCTCGGAGAGCGGGGTGGCCGTCGGGGCTCTCGCTGCGGGTCGCCGTGGGTCAGGGGAGCTCCATGGCCCCGAGCAGCCCGTGGGTCGCCCGGCCCTGTAGTGCGCCTCCCCGCCCCGGATCTGTCAGAACGAGGCGCGGTCGTGGCTGAGGCAGATGGGTGCCGGTCCAGCCGCCCTCGCCAACACGGGGCCTTCCAGGAGTGCTGGACGCAGTGCCTGAGCCGCTGGCCGGCCGGCCGGCCGGGCAGTGCAGCCGCCACCTGGAGTGCCTGGAGGGCACCAGGCCGGGCAGGCCTCTTCCTCGGGCCTTCCCCACGGAGGGACCCTGGCCGGTGGCAGTGGCCGAAGCGGCCGCTTTCCCTTTGGCCAGTGGGGGGACGCGGTGCCCCGGAAGGCCTGGGCCAGTGGGGTGTTCAGTCCATTTGTCTGCGCCTCGAGAAAACTGCGGGAAGGAAGGGGAGCGCTCCCGCCAGGTGCGGCTCCCTGTGGCCCAGCAGCAGGAGGGCTGGGCCGCAGAGGTGGGGCTGGAGGGGGGCCGTTCCCGAGGCAGGGGGCCTGCCCGTTGCGAGGGGTGCCCATGGGCTGCGCTGGGTGGGGGTCCTTCAGCAGGAGACCCCGGCCTGCCGGGCCTCTCCTTCGCTCCGGGACTCGGGAAATACGTCTTGACTCGCCTTTCCAGAGAGCGCTGGGCGCACCCCATCTGGGATTCGGGAACGGAGTGGGAACGGGCCGTGTGCGTGTGCCCAGGCGCAGGATCAGCAGGGGTGGCTGGGGGCCGGGCCGGGCTCTCTTGCCAGGACCTTTCTCCGTAGCAGAAAGTGTGTGCGCACACACTTGCCGGGGAGGCCTGTTTCCGCGGCCCTGAGCGTGGCGGTGGGTCGCCTGGGTCCTCAGGGGAACGGGCATCCTTCTGGCCTCCCCTTTGTCCTCCGGCTCCCCCGAGCAGGCGGCCAGGCCTAGCCGCTCGGTTCCTCTTTCCGCGTGAGCAGAGCTTTCCGCCACCAGCCGGCAGCCTGTGGTGGGGGCGGGGGGGCGCAGCGAGCATCCGGCATTGTCCCAGGCGACGCTGCGCCGGGGCGGCGCTCCCGAGCCCCCACTGCCGGGAGGACCCCGGGAGAAGCACCGAGCTGCCCAGGCTTGCCCTCAGCCTGTGAGTGGGGCCCTGCGAGCGGCCTGCCAGTCTCTGCCCGTGCCGAGCTGCGTCTCCTTGCGGATCTTGTGCGTGCTTCTGTGGCTGTGGCAGTGGCCGACCGCTCCCCCAGAGCCGCGTCCCCGGCTGCCTTTGGGGGGGGGGCGCTCGGCTCCCGCGTGTTGGGAGAGGGCCGGGCGAAGGGCGGGCGCTTCATCCTGGGACGTGGACCGGCCGCCGGGACTTCCGCCCCGAGGGCCGGCCCTCAGCCAGCGGCGGCTTGAGCACCTCCGCTCCTTCCCCTGGGCCGCGGAGCCCACGCCCTGCCTCCTGCTGGCCGGCCCGCCAGTGCTTCCGGGGAGGCCACAAGCTGGGCCTGGCGGCCGGGGCACCCTGCGCCTTCGCTGCACCCCCAGGCAAGCGTGGGGCAGGAGGGGGTTGCTCTGCCAACGGCTTTGCGTGTTGCTCAGCTGCCGCCCCGCTTCCCCCGTTCCGTCCGGCGTGGGTCAGCAGGACTGGCTCCCGAGGGAGCGTGGTCTCCGCTGTGGGAGACCAGCTGCCCTGGCTGGGGCGACCCTGCTGCTCTTGGGAAACGAAGGAAAGTCCCTAGAATTCCAGCTGTTTTGGTCTGGAGCGCCCTTCGTCCGAAGGCCATGGGAGCGGTAGAGCAGCACATCTGGAGAGCTGTACCTTGCCCACCGCGGCTCCAGAGGCGAGAGGCAGCCCTTGTGGGCTCTCATCCCCGGCACGGGTTGCGCTCGCAAACGCCCCGGCCACGCGCTGGCTTTTTTCCCCGTGGCTCGGCCTCTTGGCGTGGGAGCCTGGCGTGCCACGCATGGCCGGCGAAGGAGCCCTGCTGGCTTGTGCCGGTCGGCTCGCCGCACTCCCTCAGGCTGACGTGCAGCCGCCTCGCCTCGACTGGCCTGAGTGGTGCCCCGTGTGGATGCACTGGGAGGGCCGGTCCAGATGCTTTGCTGGGCGAGATCTGCCGTCGGACGCAGAGGCCGAGGCGACTTCGGTGGCTGCAGCTGCCAGGACTGATGTCATTCAGCTCCGGGGACTTTGACCTTCTCCTCCACTTCCGCTCTTCACTTCTGCTTTCCCTGAGCGTCGCTCTGCTCAGAGTGGGACCCGGACTGAGCTTTTGGGCACTGCTCCGGGGTTTCCGCAAAACGGGGCAGGTGTGGCTGGGCCAGAGCAGCCAGTGAGGCCCTGCTGCGTGAGAGGTACAGGCCACCCAGCCTGTTGGAGCTGCCTCTGCTGCGGAGAAGCCAACTGGGGCCTTGCGACGGGTGGGGGGGGGGCTCGGCCGCCCCCCGCCTGTTGCTTAGCTGTCAGTCAGCAGCCAGCGCTCGACCAGCTCCGGAGGCCAGCATGTGGCCCTCAGGGCCACTGATGAAGCGGCAGCCCTCACTGCCACCCTGGCAAGCGGTGGCCAGCTTTGCAAGCCCCCGGCCCCTTCTGGGGGCCTGCATTCACAAGCGAGAGTTAGCAGGCCGTCTCCCACTGCCTGGCCGTGGGGGACAGTTGTGTTCCCGGTGGGTCGGTGGGTGGCGGCCGGTCCAGATCCTCGGCCGGTCTCCCGCCGCCCTGAGCCCCGGAGAGCCGCAGCCGGCGTGCGTGGCCGAGCCCCTCGCCTCCGTCTCCTCCACGCGGCGCCTGGTAAGCCAATCTGTGTGGGAAGAGCCTAGGGAGCGATGGAGATGGGTGGGTGGCCGGCCCGTTGCCTGGCAACCGCGGTGCTGAGATGCCGGTGGCTCAGAGCGGAGCTTGGCGGGTGCGTGGCGTGGCCTGGGCAACGTGCCAGGCACACCTCCGGCTGCTCCCAGGTGACCTTAAAGGAATACCGCCGGTGAGCGCGGTGGAGCCCAGGTGATCTCCGAGGTCCTCGGGTTTCAGAGCCTGGCCCCCGCTGCACGTGCCCCTGCGCAATTCCAGGCGGTGCCTGCGAACCGGATCGTCAGGCTGCTCTGCCCGGAGGTGTCATTAACTCCCTGAGGTGCTTCCGCCGACTGCTGGGAGAGGCTGTCGCCTCGTGGGGGGGGAACCGCGGCCTGGCTGGATGGTGGGGGCAGAGGGCCCTGCTGCACGGAGGGGGCCGATCCGGTCGAGGCCCCTGTGCCTTTGGAGGCAGGCTGGCAAGCGAGGTCATACAGTTACCCGACCCCGGGACCTTTTCGCCGGCACCAGGCGAGCGACGGTAGTGACGCTGGGCATGTCACTCGGCCCCCGCCCTGGTCTGCTTCGGAGAGGCCCCCGGTCTTGCGTGCCGGTCATTCCGACTCGCCCGCAGCCTGCAGGACGGGCTTGCACCCGGACCCGGACGGAGCCCTCGGGGGCGCTTCGGGCATTGCAGCCAGAGCGGGGGCCGGCAGCAGTGGGCCCGGCCCCCTCGGCGCAGGAGTGCCCCGTGCTTCGTGCGCCTTCCTTCACCAGAGGCCGAGAACACCCTGCGCCTGCTCCCGGGGGCAGCACCCCCGCCTGCCCCACCAGGGCTGCGGCGGCTGCTGCTCCCGCGCTTCCCAGGCCGGGAGGGAGCGTGGCCCCGCTGGTCCTTGCCCCCTGCGCGGCCCAGCCACAGAGAGCGCCGGCAGGCCTCCGGGGAGAACTCGAGGGGGACGCGGGGTGGGCCCCCCATCCTCCTCCTCCTCCTCCTCCTCGTCTCTGCATCTGACTGGGCGGCCCATAGACATGGGGGGAGACGGGTGGCTCGCCCGTTGCTGGGCCCAGGCCGAGCCGGCCCCTGGGATGGCTGCTCCGCCACGGCTCTGCCAACGCTCAGCGCTCTTTCCAGCTATTTTAATCTCATTTTTCCGATCCCAGGCATAGGAAACAGCCCCAACTGCATATTTAAAAAGCAAACAGAACAAGGGGCTAAAACAGTTTGAGAAGGCAGACAGTCCGTGCACTGTGGTTGCCTTGGATCTCAGCTCCCATAAGCCCCAGCTGGCGTGGCAAAGCGGCAGCTGTAGTCCAAACCCCAGAGAAGGCAGAGGCGGCCTTCCCCCCGCCCAAAGCCCAGCAGGAGCCGGTGCGTGTCTTGCCGCCCCCAGGGGGCCCACAGGGATGGGGTTGGGAGGGGCTCCCGATGGGGGGCATTGTCACCCCCAGTGCCCTCCCACGCTGAGCCGCGGCCGCGAGGGGCCCCAGCTGACTGACGGAGGGCAGCCCTTCTGGGGATCCTCCCCGCCAGCCCACCGCCCTCCGGATGCTCCGGACTACAACTCCCAGCATCCTCCAGCCAGCTCCCCGTCTGCGTGGGCAGGCGGCCGAGGCCCCGC